ATAGGAAATGTTGGGCCTGGAACTCTGCAAGCAGTCCGGGCCCCCCAGGACCGCCGGGCCCATGACAACCGCCTTGATGGCGGCCTTGTTCAAAGATACCCCTTCACTCAAACTCTAAAATTATATATAAACACTCAAACACACCCTTCACTCAAACACTAATACTACACACAAATGTACATCCGCATTTAAAATCCAGCACTACATCCAAATACACCTCTGTACGCAAATGCAAATATTACATACAAACACATCCCTGTATTCAGTGGCGTACCTACCATGGTCGCAGGGGTTGCAGCTGCAACCAAGCCCCTCACTTCAGGGCTGCCTGGATACCTTATGGGCCAATGTACAGCCATGCCGGCCCGGATCCACGGTTCCCGGTTGTCTGGCAGGAGGGGGTGCTGTGCTGCTCCCCTCCTACCGGTGTGTAGCGTAACCAAGCGGTCTGACAGAAAGTGCTTACTAAGAGAGCACTTCCTGTCAGACTGGGAACCTCAGTGAGCCAGGTACAGGATAGGAGGGGGGAGAGAGGGAGGGTATGGGACACGGGAAGGGAGGAGAGAGGATATGGGACACAGGGAGGGGAAGGGAGGGGGGGAAATGGGACACCTGGAGGGAGGGGAGGGAGGGAGAGAGGGAGAAATAACACACAGGGAAGGGGAGAGAAGGAGAAATGGGACACATGGAGGAGAGGTGGAGAAAGGGAACAATGGGACACATGGAGGGTAGTGGAAGGGGAAGAGAGGGAGGGTATGGGACACATGGAAGGGAGGGGAGGAGCGAGAGAGGGTATGGGACACATGGAAGGGAGGGGAGGAGGGAGAGAGGGTATGGGACACATGGAAGGGAGAGGACAAGGAAGAGAGGGTATGGGACACATGGAAGGGAGAGGACAAGGAAGAGAGGGTATGGGACACATGGAGGGGAGGGGAAGAGAGGGAGGGTATGGGACACATGGAAGGGAGGGGAGGAGTGAGAGAGGGTATGGGACACATGGAAGGGAGGGGAGGAGGGAGAGAGGGTATGGGACACATGGAAGGGAGAGGACGAGGAAGAGAGGGTATGGGACACATGGAAGGGAGGGAGAGAGGATATGGAACACATGAAAGCGAGGGGGAGAGAGGGAGGAATGGGACACAGGGATGGGGAGAGGGGGAAATGGAACACATGGAGGGGCTGTGATGGAGGCGAGTATGGGAAACATGAAGGGGTAGGAGCGTATGGGACACATGGAGGGGCTTAGGGGGAAAAGGAATGGAACATGTCAAGGGGCTGTGGGGCAGAGGGAATGAGACACATGGAGGGGCTTTGGGGATGAAGAAATGAGGCACATGGGGGGGCCTGGACGCGGGAATGAGAAACCGGGGTGAAATTAGGCACTGGGGCGGCGGGGGGACGTAGTGAATGAGACATTGGGGGGGTGAGACACATGGGAGGGGGGAATGAAAAACATGGGAGCGGGGCCCAGGGTAATTTTTGCACCAGGGCCCGGTGGATTCTAGTTATGCCAAGCACTCAAGTTCAATCCAACAGGCAGATTTAATGGAGCAAAATCAAAACAACGTTGCTTATCTTGTCAATAAATGTGTCAGAGAAAAACAAATTACATACAATTACATACAATTGTGGCTCTTAGTTTACATAGAATCTCTCTATCTAGAAGGTTAATAAACTATCCAGTCGCTTCAAGGAAGGAAAACTTTAGCTAAGTGGTCTATCCATGGCCGGATTAACATAGGGGCTAAAGGAGCTGAAGTTGCAGGTCCATGCCCATGAAATAGGAAACTTAAGAGGTATATAGGGGAACAAAACTTGCATGGACTGGCTGGCAATTAAATTAGGTAAGGTTTGACTTTGCGCACTATGCAAAGTCAAACCTTGCTGCTTAAGTCTCTCCAACACTGTGACATTTTCCCTTTCTTCTATACGCACTACACCTTTTCTCTGTCCCAGACTGTATAACAGAAGCTTCTGTCTGCTAGTATCTGCTAGTAAGAAGGTAAGGAGAGGAGTGGACAAGTGAGTGCTAGGGGATAGTCCTTAAAAAGCATGGAGTGAGCGCATCATTACATGTATTATGCCAAGCTCAGGGTGCTGTATGTCCTTAGTTGGCCAGCATGCATGATTGGCAGGCAGCCTGACATGCATTCATGCAAGGCTGGCCTTCCGATTCTCTGGGAAGACGCCCCCCCTTTTTGGGCATGTTCGGTTTTGGTTATGTGTATTGTGTCGGTGGCCCACTCTTTTATGTGTATTGATTATGTGTATTGTGTCGGTGGCCCACTCTTTTGTGGCCCACTGAAATCCTGTTTTACCGGACACTACTGTTAGGGGGTATGGATTTACTTGAACAATGAAAGCAAGAGATTAGCATAGGGTATGTGTTTTCTTAAAGCTACATCCCGTGAGTTTCTCTCCAGCACCACTTCCGACAGAAACATGACACTTGGGAGGTAGGACTGTTTTAGTGTTTTCTGTCAATAAGATTCTGTAATTAGGCCCATCATAACTGTCAGCACCAGTCACAGTGGATTCCTAATCTGGCCCTGGGACTATCCCTACAGTTTGTCATGTGAATATAGGGTTTCTCATACTTCAACAAGTGATGGCAATTTTAATTTCATTTTTCACTTTCTAAAGTATGTCTTAAGAGTGCCAATTTTAGAGCAGTCAAATTAACTACCCTTAGCCTTCTCTTTTGTGAAGGCTGTTTTCATGTATTAGATACACATTATTAGATATTTTAATTACATAAAATCGGTGTAACTTTTTCTTACACAAACCATTAGCATGCAATTTTGCACAATTTTTCAACACACAATTAAAAGTACTCTTTTAATCTGTATTACTTAATACAGAGCTTATATTTAACTATATACCCTCTCTCCATGGGCATCCGCAGGGAGGTTAAGAGGGGGCACTTGCCCCCCCTGGATTTTCCAGCTTCTGCTGCTATTTTTCATTTCAGTGTGAGAATACACTGCAATACCAGCGCCGGCCAGTAGGTGAATGGAGAAAGGCAGGGAAAGGAAGTTACAGCTTATCCCTGCTTCCTTCTCCTGAATGGAGCACAGAGTACAGCCAGCAGAGACAGCCTACAGATCAGGTAAGTGAGGCATGGGGAGGGGCAGCCTACAGATCAGGTAAGTGAGGGATGGGGGGGCAGCCTACAGATCAGGTAAGTGAGGAATGGGGAGGCAGCCTACAGATCAGTTAAGTTAGGAATGGGGAGGCAGCCTACAGATCAGATAAGTTAGACATGGGGGGCAGCCTACAGATCAGGTAAGTGAGACATGGGGGGGCAGCCTACAGATCAGGTAAGTGAGGGATGGGGAGGAGGCAGTCTACAGATCAGGTAAGTGAGGGATGGAGGGGAGACAGCCTACAGGAAGGTAAAGTAGAAGGAGCAGAAATGAGCAGAAAGGTTCTGCACGAGGCAGGAGGGGTCAGCGAGGAATAGGACGGAGCAGGAAGCGGCAGCAAGAAGCAGGAGGGTGAAGTAGAAGGAGCAGCAAGGAGCAGGAGGGGTCTGCAAGGGGCAGGAGGGATCTGCAAGGGGTAGGATGGGGCAGCAAGGATCAGGGAGGGGCAGCAAGGAGAAAGAAGGGGCAGCAAGGAGCTGGAAGGGGCAGAAAGAATCAGAAGGAGCACAAAGGTAAAGTAGAAGAAGGAACAGAAAGGGTCTACATGGAACAGAAAGGGTCAGCAATGAGCTGGAAGGAGCTGCAAGCAGCTGGAAGGGGCAGAAAGAAGCAGGAAGGGGCAGCAAGAAGGAGGAAGGGTCTGCAATGAGCAGGAAGGGAAATCAAGGAGCAGAAAGGGTCAACAATTATCTGGAAGGGGCAGAAGGAGCACAACGGTAAAGTTGGAAAAGGAACAGAAATGAGCAGCAAGGAGCAGGAAGGGTCTGCAAGAAACAGAAGGGCACAGAAAGGGGCAGCAAGGAGCAGGAAGGGTCTGCAAGAAGCAGGAAGAGGCAGGAAGGGGTTGCAAGGAGAAGGAAGGGATCAGAACGAGAAAGGAGCAGAAGGGCGCAAAATAGGCAGAAAGAAGCAGAAAGGTAAAGGAGAAGAAGGTGCGAAGGAGGAGAGAAGACAGTGTCATAAGAAAAAGAAGACTGTGTCAAATGAAGGAGAAGAAAATGAAATTGGAGCAGGAAGGACAAGTGAAGTGATCCCTCCACTTCATTCTGGACACCACATCAAAAGGCTTTGGTACCTTGGCCTGGCAGGAAACTTTGGACCTTCTCATCTCCCCAGGTAAAAAACATATCAGCGTTAATGTGTTCACTTTTATTTACTGAGTGTCAGTAAGCACAGAGTGCCACTGGGTAGGAGTGCCGCTGATTGGCTACACCGTTCAGCTGGCACTATAAGCCAATCCAGGGCCGTCTTTAACGCGGGGCAAACGGGGCAGTTGCCCCGGGCCCAGTTTCTCTTGGGGGGCCCGAGGCACCTGCCCCGTGGGCCCCGCTGACCCCGGCGAGCGGGTGGCAGGTCAGGCAGGAAGGCGGGCGCGCGAGGGAGCACTCACTGCTTCCTCTTCAGCTCCCTCGCGCACCGCACTAATGCCGGAGCCGGAAGATGACGTCATCTTCCGGCGCCGACATCCCTACGCGGCGCGCGAGGGAGCTGAAGAGGAAGCAGTGAGTGCTCCCTCGCGCGCCCGCCTTCCTGCCCGACCGGCCACCGCCCGCCAGAGCCCAGCAGCACCACTGGACCCCAGGGAATCCCCCCAGCACTCCAAAAGGTAAGGAGGCTGGGGGGATTACATTTAAAAAAAAAATGTGTGTGTTTGTATGTATGTGTGTGTTTGTGTGTGTAGTGTATGTGTGTGTTGTGTATGTATGTGTGTTTGTGTGTTAGTGTATGTGTGTTAGTGTATGTGTGTGTTAGTGTATGTGTGTTGTTAGTGTGTGTGTTTGTGTGTTAGTGTATGTGTGTGTTAGTATGTGTGTGTGTGTGTTAGTGTATGTGTGTGTGTGTGTGTGTCCAGTATGTCTGTGTGTGTGTGTCAGTATGTCTGTCTGTCTGTGTGTCAGTATATATGTGTGTGTGTATATCTGTGTGTCAGTATGTGTATGTGTCAGTATGTCTGTCAGTGCGTCAGTATGTCTGTTAGTGCATGTGTATGCATGTGTCAGTATATCTGTCTGTGTGCCAGTATGTCTGTGTGTGTGTGTCAGTATATCAGTCTGTGTGTGTCAGTGTATGTGCCTGTGTGTGTCAGTATTTCTCAGTGTATGTGGGTGTCAGTATATCTGTCAGTGTGTGGGTGTCAGTATTTCTGTCAGTGTATGTGTGTCAGTATGTTGATCAGTGTATGTGTCTGTGTGTGTGTGTCAGTATGTCGGTATATGTGTCTGTGTGTCAGTATGTCTGTATATGTGCCTGTGTCAGTATGTCTGTCAGTACGTCTACCAGTGTATGTGTCTGTGTGTGTGTCAATATATGTACCTGTGTCAGTGTGTCTGTCAGTGTATGTGCCTGTTTATCTGTATGTAGTCAGTGTATGTATCTGTGTATCTGCTTGTGCGTCAGAGTGTGTACCTGTGCATCTGAGCCGCAACTTTAAATACAAATACACCCCTCCATTCAAACTTCAACACTACATATAAAACACACTCCTGCATTGAAACGTCAACACTACATACAAGCACACTCCTACATTCAAAAACAAACACTACACATAAATGCACACTTGCATTCAAACTCCAGTACCACATACAAACACATTCACACAAACATACTCCATACAAACACATGCTTACATTCAAACATACTAACATGGCTCAGTGCTAAATACAACCCTGCAAGCATGGGAAATTGGTAGAGTCCCAGCTGTCAAAGCATTGTTGGAGTTGCACGACAGATGGGGTTCTACCTTTAGTCCAACCTTGCAATTGGGGGTCCCAATAAAATTCATTCTACTTTAGTACCGCCACTGCGTTGGGATGGATGCCGTGATTGCATACCAGGGAGTGAGGGGCGAGAGCGGCAGGGCACAGGGGGCCCAAGCAAACACTTGCCCAGGGTCCATTCGTTATTAAAGACGGCCCTGAGCCAATCAGTAGCTCCCCATTCATAAAAACGTTAAAAAAAATTATGAATCGAGAACTAGCGATTGACTTAGAGCATCAGCTGACCACTCTAGCCAATCAGCGGTACCCATGCCTGACATCAATCTTCACTTCCTGACACTCCGTTTCAGAAGCCGAATACCACTGAGCGACCTGGAGATCTGGAACTGGAGTAAGCCTTTCGGGTTAAACAATTTGAGAGCGGTTTCACCCCTTCAAGGAAAGAGAACGCCCAGGGGCCTCCTTGAATCATAACATTTTAATTTAGATAAAGTTGTTAGCAAGGAGGTGCACTCAGCTGTCTTTTTCAATGTGCTTTATTCAAATCAACTTTGTGTCCTGATCAACGTTTTGACTCATAACCAGTGAGATTGTGATGCCCAAACCCCTCAGAACCCGGAAGTCCGCGGCACACAAAAATGAAAAAAATTAAAGAAATTAAAACATTTTTAGAACAAATAAATAATAATAAAAAATAAAAAAATGGAAAATGAGAAGATCACTACATCAAAAAAAGTCATATATCACCTCCATATGAGCAGATGGATCAACATAACTAAAAAAAATATATATATATATTATACATAATATTTTAAAGTAACATGGAATATGTGACACACTCATTAAGTCCTTTAGGTGCCACTGTGTCAAGACGGTGTATCCAATAGGCTTCCTTTTGTAGGAGAAGTCTGGATCTATCACCTACCCATGAGGGTGGAGGAACATGATCAATAGCCATGAAGCGTAAAGTAGGGAGCCTCTATGAGGCAGATCAAAAATGTTTAGCTACGGGTTTTTCTGTTTTCTGATCCCTGAAGGCGGTGGGGAGGCCTGATTTGTGTCCTCTAATTCTATCCCCTAGTGTTAGATTGGTCTTGCCCACATATGCCAGTCCACAGGGGCAGGAGATCATGTACACCACGCGATCAGTGGTACATGTGATGTAATGTGTGATTGGTATCCTTTTTACACTGTGTGGGTGAGCGAAGTGGTACCACTGATCATGTGGCTACACGTCATGCATCCACTGCATTTATCCTGTGGGTTTCTGATAACACTGGATTGGGTCACTGTGAACCAGCATGTCCCGTAGGTTCCTGCTCCTTTTATAGCTGATAATAGGATGATCTTTGAAAATTGGAGGAACATTCCTATCGGATTTCAATAAGCACCAACATCTATTAATCGATTTCCGAATAGGTTAACAAATTTAAACCTATTTAGTTTAGAAAAACGTCGCCTGAGAAAGGATATGATAACATTATACAAATATATTTGGGGCCAATACAAACCATTGTGTGGAAATCTATTAACAAACCGGACTTTACATAGGACACGAGGTCATGCGTTTAGACTGGAAGAAAGAAGATTTCGTCTAAGGCAAAGGAAAGGTTTTTTCACTGTAAGAACAATCAGGATGTGGGATTCTCTTCCTGAAGAAGTGGTTTTATCAGAGTCCATACAGATGTTCAAACAGCTACTGGATGCATACTTGCAAAAACAGAATATTCAAGAATATAATCTTTCAATGTAGGGTAATAACTGCTTGATCCAAGGATAAATCTGACTGCCATTCTGGGGTCAAGAATGAATGTTTTTCCTAGCTTGTTGCAAAATTGTGCTTCAGACTGGGTTTTTTTGCCTTCTTTTGGATCAACAGCAAAAAACAAATGTGAGGAAGGCTGAACTGGATGGACACAAGTCTCTTTTCAGCTATGTAACTATGAATCTGTGATGTTCCTGTATGAAAAGTTAATGGTAGATATATGTAATTCTTCTTGTCTGTGGGTATCGACCTCTTTTCTGATGATTGTAGAGACCATTTGTCAGCAGCTTTTTGTTGGGCTATCCTTAATATATCTGGATGATATCTTCTTGACAGAAATCTTTTTTTTTTTTTATAATTTTTATTTTTTATTATTATTTTTTATTATATATTTTTTATTTTTTTCACCATTTATTTTCATGGTAGCCTTGTTTCTATAGGTATGTGATACAGGCTGGTCCATAGTTCCAGATATTCATCTGTTTGAGCCTGTGCCGATCTCTAATTAAGTGTCTTTGGCTTAATTGAATCATACTGTATTTATTTTGAATATATGGATAAGCCTTATTTTGATAATGACAATATAAGTTATGTATCAGTCATTTCCTGATCTGTGAATAATATATTATTTTAAAATTTTTGTTCATTATGCATGGTTTACATATTGTGTTTAGACACATGATAGTTTCCTTATGTTTCCATAAGAACCACTGGGGACCTCTCACTTTGGAGCATGATATTTTTCACTATCACTTATTTTTTCACTCATTTTATACACATCACTGATGCTCTGTTCACTTATGCACATCACTTAGTTTTATAACCCAGTGGTTCTCTTTTGGATTATTAATATTAGTATATCGATAACTAAATCTTTAATCCTCCTGATTATTCACACTATTTTTTCACATATCACTCTTTGAACCTGATATACTCCATCATCACTTGACAAATTACAGCAGTCAGATGGCTTGATTGTTTACATGGTTTCCTAGCAACAACGGCATCTGCACGCACATTTTTTCATGTCACGTGGTGTGCTGCGGACTTCCGGGTTCGGAGGGGTTTGGGCGTCATGATCTCACTGGTTATTGGTAAGTGTAGTTTACCTTTTCCTATATATTTGTTATGTTACACTTGTTTGGTGATCTTGAAAAAGACCCGCCAGGGTCGAAACATCGATCAGGACACAAAGTTAATTTGAATAAAGCACATTAAAAAAAGACCGCTGAGTTCACCTCCTTGCTTCAAGTTTCTATATGGACACAGGCTGCACCAAGGCAAGTACCACATTACTGAGAATCAAGGGGTGAGTACCAAGATTATCTCTCATTGTATATATATATGAAACAAGGGGGGGGTTGGCTGCACTCACCTGAACATGCATAAATGGGGGTGCTGCTGGGGGCCAAATAATACAAAACACAAGATCCAGCGCACTCACCTATCCACTAAACAGCAACTTCAATGTTGAAAGATTTTATTAGTTTTTTTAAAAACACCTAATCTAGGCAAAAATAATGGGGGTTTAGTTACATTATATGATCATACATTGCATAAGCCTGCCACAACGTCAATGTACCCCATCTTTGGCAGGTCCTACACTAACAGCCTAATGTCTGCTCTTATGAGATTAACCACTTACTTGAGGAAAAAATTCCATCTGGGGCTCTCTGCAGTACAAGGCTAAATAGGGCCCTGGGATGAGGCACCTGTGACAGGGAGGGGTGCAAAACCAAGGAGTTGGCTAGACTCCCAAATATATACATATGAAACAAGGGGGGTTGGCTGCACTCACCTGAACATGCATAAATGGGGGTGCTGCTGGGGGCCAAATAATACAAAACACAAGATCCAGCGCACTCACCTATCCACTAAACAGCAACTTCAATGTTGAAAGATTTTATTTGTTTCATATGTATATATTTGGGAGTCTAGCCAACTCCTTGGTTTTGCACCCCTCCCTGTCACAGGTGCCTCATCCCAGGGCCCTATTTAGCCTTGTACTGCAGAGAGCCCCAGATGGATTTTTTTCCTCAAGTAAGTGGTTAATCTCATAAGAGCAGACATTAGGCTGTTAGTGTAGGACCTGCCAAAGATGGGGTACATTGACGTTGTGGCAGGCTTATGCAATGTATGATCATATAATGTAACTAAACCCCCATTATTTTTGCCTAGATTAGGTGTTTTTAAAAAAACTAATAAAATCTTTCAACATTGAAGTTGCTGTTTAGTGGATAGGTGAGTGCGCTGGATCTTGTGTTTTATATATAGATATATATATATATATATATATATCCATAGCCTTAACCAAATGACTACAGTTACTGGATGCCCTTGAACAAGAAGAGCGATTATCCCTATCCCTAATCAATTCCCTGCATTTACTAGAGAACTCTGTGTTCCTGCATTGCGGGAGAGATTAGCCTATAGTGTAAATTACCTTGGGTACCTTAGATAGAAGATATAAAAATCCAACTCGCAAGCAAAAAAAGCTAAGTAAGTGCTTAACGGACAAAATGTAAAAAAAGAAATTGGAACATATATAGGCAGCCGGCTTGTTAGTCAAATTCCTGAACACGTAATGGCAAATAAATCATAAACCTTTGCAATACTAGAGATTGAAGCCTAATGACCAAAATAAAAATACGTAGAAAGATGTAGAAAACTAGCACGTTTGTGAAATACCCAACA